CCCCAAAACCCCAAAACCCCAAAACCCCAAAACCCCACCATATCCAATCTTTATTGGATAATAAGAAAATTTAGATTAATTATTTTAGAAAATGAGCCAGAAAAGTGCTCAAAAAGACCAGAGTAAGCCAAAAATTGAGATTAATTTGTGATCAAGTTGAAATGAGGTTTATTGTCAAGCTCGATTATGACTTTTAACCGAAGGAATTTGCTCTTGATTAGACTTTAATTTGATTTATATTAACTTTAACAACTCCCTAAAAATTTCATTAGCTCCTTTATCTGATAAAAACTACCAACTCCTTGAAATCGAAGACCAATCTCCCCCAGCTGCCACCAAGAACGCTCACAACGTAAGCCATCCCTCCAAGATCTCTATGTCTCTCCTAGAACCTTCACATGTGGTTGAGGTTGAAGAAGAGCATCATTATGAGCAGTCTTATGTTAAAGGAGTGGTGATGATGCTGACAACTACCTTGATTTGGACTGTCCTGCATGTTTCTACCAAATATATGTTCACAGTATCTCCAGAGATGAGTCCCCTGGATTTGATCTCAGTGATGGGTTACTCCTGAGTCCCTTGTTTCTACCTCTACGCAAAGTATAAGAATGTGAACGTATATCTTTTCAACTTCAAACCGAAAGTTCAGCTAGTTATAGCTATTAGAGTTGTGGTTGGTCTCTCCAATAACTTTTGCTTATGGTATGGCTTTCAATATATCTCCATTGGAAAAGCAATTTTGATCTGGAGCTTGAGCCCGTTGTTCTGTGCTATCACAGCTGCTATCTTTTTGAAGGAGAAAATAACGTATCAGAGTATTGGGTTGATCTTGATCTCGATTGTAGGAGTTTACTTGCTGACCTTAAACAAATCAGATGATCCTAAAGTTGCCTCAAATGAAACCTTAGGATATTGTCTTGTGGTCGCCTCAGCATTCCTGTATGCTCTATTATTTGTGCTTCTGAGAACAATGAGCATCAATGGAGTTCATGCTTTTGTATCACCCTTGTATTTCGGAACAGGAGTGCTTATCCAGAATATCATCATTTTTATTTTCTTCCCAGGTGCATTTCACTTCTCAGCTTATATGGACAAAGCAGTTAATGCATTAACTCTTCTCTTAATTATGATCGGTTGAGTTGTAGGCCAATACACTTGGATGACCGCTATCCAATATGCTCCCGCTTCCAAGCTCTCTCCTATCGGATACAGTGAGAATGTGCTGACAATCTTGTCAGACATCGTGATCTTCAACTACCACTTCATCATGACCGACTTCTTGGGTATTGCCATAATTATCCTGTGCTTGGTGACCCCTCTCATGCTGAAATCTTCTGAATAACCAATTACTGCAGAATTTAAGAGTTAAGATATCTGGATTTCAATTTGGAGTTTCCCCAGAGGGGTTTTGGGGTTTTGGGGTTTTGGGGTTTTGGGGTTTTGGGG